CATACTTATATCCTTGATATTTCGAACATACTCAATCTTTCTTAAAACTTAACATAAAGTGAATAATGCTAAACCTTATCGACGACGACGACGACGACAAATGTAGGCCAGATAATGCACAAATAATAAATATCTCTAGTTCAAGTGCTAAACCATTACTTGTCTAATATTGTAATATATTTAGGAAATACATATAAACAATCTCGATCCTTTACTACCATGTATATATACATAAATAAAAAGATATTTCTTTAAGGACTTGCAAAGAGATCTCCAATGCGGTGGAAGAAAACGTATTCTTCTTGTACCCTAAATAATATCCAAGTTAAGGGAACGTTATACTTTCAGTAATGGAAAATTAAAGGGAAAATCGCGGAACGAAAGGCTCTATGTGAACTATTAATTTGTTATTCAAGCGGGAAAAGTCCTATCCTTTGTAGTGCTCCTCTTATATATATATATATATATATATATATATATATATATAAAAACGCCCATATACTTCACAAGGTCAACAAATTTTTGGTACTTTATGATTAGAAATGATGCAAAAAATAATGACTTATCAGATAACATTTGCGCTGTAAACTTGAATTGCATGGCTCTGCGCGTGAACTTCTCCCATCTCATTCAAAAAGTAAGCTTCGATCTTATGAAATGTAAACTCCTATAACATGATATAAATTTTAATATATGGATGAAGAATTTTATTACAAAAATTTGCGTAAGGCACGTAACTAGTTAATCGAATGTCTATCCGTCCGTGTCATTTTTATGCATTTATCATTATAAATATTATGTATTTCATACTGAATGAATTTTAGAAAATATTTTTCTTATTTTATCACACCGTTCCATTACTATTTAATTTCATATTAGACATGACCTGTGTTTGACGAGTATACGGTGAATAACGCTACAAAAGCGGTCCTGTCAAGCAAGACATCTTATATGAACAAATAAGAATAGCATATCATGGAAATAATCCTTTATATCCCATGGCTCAAACCAATTCATAAATATTACAAAGTATTCTCCTAGATATGTGGGCATGCCAAACAGCCGCTTCGAACCATTCTACAGTTAGCCTTTAGACTAGGAAACATTGAATTATATTATGATACGACTTTGCTCATTGCGGGCGTCTCTCCAGCCCATTTACATTTTCATAACAAAGATGATTTAGATGATCCGACTATATACGATAGTTGTATCGAACATTAGCTTAATATCTTCTACGGATTGAAAGTTTTTTATGGACCAATCAAACTTTTTTCCTACTTTATCTATTTGTATAGATACATATTTGCCTAAGAATCTCATCTCATGTTTTGTTACTCTACCTATTCTAAAAAACAAACGGATATCGAAAAGAAGTGTGAATATATCGATATTAAATATCAAGAATATCATCATGTTGATTTCGAATTTATATATATATATATATATATATATATAATTGCATTTTTACTTTGAACGACATAACAATTCTTCACTATATCACATCACTCGTGTACATCAAAAAAGCGAAAAGAAAAACGATAATTTTGTATCTGTGGATTGCTGCTACATTGCGTAGAAATGTGATTTGTAACGTTTACTTTTCGTGCTTTAAGTCGTAATAATGGATATTATTGTTCTACACTTAAATGTCGTAGAAATAAGGCGAGAGAATTGTCAGCAAACGCTGGCAATAATAAACTCAAAAATTCCATCTAAACGAATAAAACTTTTTCGTTATTTTAGCTTTATTGGTTGATCCATAAAAAGTCATTTTCATAACATTTTTGCACGTGTGAGTGTTAAGAAACAAAAAAAACAACAAAAAAAAACTATTAAATCGATCCAAAATCAGCATTATTTGTGGTCTCCCGCGCATAAGCGATAGTAGCGTAAACTCAACATCTTTTACAATGAGAAAATTGCTGGGTTTTATTCGCCAGTCTTTATACCCTCTCGTCATATATGGTACCGTTAGGTTTGTACGGATGTACCAAGTGAAGTTATGAGAGCTACACCTTTTATTATATTCATGGATTTTTGCTCTCGTTTTCTTAACCGATTTAAATTTGTCGCTCTGTCCGTTCGTTTGTTTGCTGGATGTCTGTCCATGTGTTTTATGTGAAAATGCAAATTTTTGAGTTATTTTTAATGAAATATAGTCAACTGACTTCCATACCCCCAAGAACGAATTCTGTTGAAGATGGGTTCGATATAATCATTCTTCCGGCCAACCCTTATATAATAGCGTCTGAGTTTAAAAAGCTGAGTTATAATCATACATATACCATATCATGAATTGCTGCGACCTGTTTGGATCGGACGGGCGGCAATTCCTTGAATCCTCGCATCCCATATAACTGTTCCTACGAAAACTAAAACTTTATATTAAAAAGTTTTTGCAACACTGTACCAAACCAAATAGATTTGTTCTTTAAACCCGACTAGACGTGTAATATGAACACTAAGGTTTTATTAAAAATACCAAAAAAAAAAAAGGACCTAATTTTCAAAAGTTTATGATCAAATGTAATCCTTAAAAATTGACCGTGACAAATTTGCGTCGCGTAGGTCTCATGAAAAGTAAACTCTTTTATGGGCAGAAAGGTCGAATTTTTATTTTAATCTTTTAATCTCTTATGATGGAAATCGATGAAAAAGGAAAAAAATATTTAAGAATATTTAAGATTTTACATTACGTCACTTTACGTTTGGACACCCTTTGATTCACTTTGCCGAAATTGAATGGCAGAGCGGTGTAGGGTATTGAACGACCGGTCCTGCCCGACATTTATAAATGTTTTTATTTGTTTCAATATTAACTTTTTTAATTGGCGCGTTACCGACACGAAGACTTCAACCCTTATAGATAACAAACATCTGCCATAAATTTGAAAACTTTTTATAACATGTTTGCATAATTTATAAACAAGCGAAAAGAAATCATATATAGCGGAGAATAATGAAATTATAAAAATTTTCTTTCTATTTACAGGAGAAGAGCAAAATCAAAACATTAATGCAAACATCAAAAGGGGCAATTGCGATAGGAAAGAAATTAAATTGTATTCTAACGTCTATTTCCCCCTTCTTACACCCAGCCACATTGCAAGGAATGAAATGGCATATGCATTTGGAAGATTCCCTTTCAAAAAAAAAAAATAAATAAATAAATAAAATAAATAAACAAATAAATGTTTTTTCTACTATAAATATAAGCACAATGAACTATTGATTGCAAAGACCAGACACCACAAAACATAGACAAACGCTTGCACACATAAATGCTCTAGGGGGGTATAGTGTGGGATGCCAAGGCTACCAGGCCAAACGCCGTCTGCCGCGCTTGCTGATGGTTTTGTTACCTTGATTCAATGTCAGACAGAATCCATATAAATGGAATTTGAAAAAAGGTATGAGGGAGATTTCACAATTAAGGAAATAAACACATAAATGAATTGAGAGAAAACGAGAGAAAATAAGAGAAACTGCAGAAATAACCTCCACATACATAAACATATTGTAAATTATAACACGAGCATAACTTAGAAATAAAAACGATATATATTGGAAAAAAAGTTAGGAAAACAATTTTTCTTCTGTATAATTTCTTATTTTGAGTTTCTTAGAAATTTTCAAAAAAACAATTTCGGTTAATTCTATGTTTAAAATTATCTTGCGTGGTAAAAATGACATTGCACTTAAAAAGAAAAAAAAAAACCACCAAAAACTAAGTATACGGCAACACTATTTTCCACTCTTCACTCTATCGAAAATAAAGAGATCTATTCAGCATCAAAATGAAATAAATGTCTTAAAGACTTTTGTTGCTAAACATACACTTATTAAAACATGTTTTTTCCTTCCATTCCCAAAAGAGAAAACAATTCGTTGAGAACAATTTCGGAGAGACTGAGAATATTAGCGCCATGTATCACATATCTATATACATATTTATATACATATTTATACACATATTTATATATACATTTATATACACATTTGTATATATATATATATATATATATATATATATATATATTGATATATACACATGCCTACATAACGTATTTATGGGTATATATATATATATATATATATAAACTTACATGTGCCTCAGCAAACATTTATGTATATAACATATATTAAAAACAAAACATGATCTTAACGATATAATTAAATCATTCATTAAAAGAAAAATATTTTATGAAACTTATTGAAAATACCGCAAATTTCCTTAACGTGTCTTGTGCAAAACAAGAAAATACAAATTTTTTTCGCCGCATTCCATTTAAAACCATGTGCGAACATGTAATTCGCGATCCTTCTATTCCAATTACATTTGCTAACAATGTGCAGTTAATAATTTTTTAATGCCTTTTTGCCACATTTTTCCCAGAACCCTTTGTTTGTTTATTTAGGCAAACGCCGCCATATATATTTTTTCAATGCATAAAAGTATTTATTTAAACAACATACCGGTATTGGTTTCATTGGTTGAAAATTGCTGATAAAAACTCTACTTACACATAAATTATACATAAAAAAAAAAAAAAAACTCACAATGTCCACACATATACCATGTGTGTTGTGTGTGTGTGTCATATCTTATATATGAGTACGATGCAAATAATGTGTCTGCACTGTTATATGCCAGTGTATACATATTTTGTTAGCACGAAGAAAACATAAAAGAGACCCAGAATAACGGACTATTTATTTTCAAAAAGAAAAAAAAAAAGAAGGCAATAATAAAAAAAAAAAAAATTATTGATGTGAACAGAGCGTTGCGTGCATTTGCACAAGAGACTTAACATTTAGTTCGAAAGCTTTCTGTTTAATATCCCTACAGATTCTTAACAGGAAAAAGGCGGCAAATTGCAATAAATACATTTAATTATATTAGCAAAATAAATAATAGACAAAAAGCAAAATTAGAATAAAGCAACTTATGAGTAAACCCCCACACACGTAGTGTATAAATTTCAACAAAAACTTACCGCATATTTATTAAGAAAACCTTCGTGAAAACTTCCTGAATAGTCCTCTAATTCGAACATTTTCGCAAAGAAAATTCTAAAATCAATCTCAAGATACACACAGGCAACGGCAATCCTTCTTTCTTCTTCTCTTTGCTAATCCTTTTTGGTATACAATAAACTTATTGCTTAGAATTTACTTTTCACGCAACACACGCCATTTAATCAAAAACAAAACCGATTCGAACAGAAGAAAATGCTTTTTCCCTACACAATTTCAAATCAAATACTTTTTTTTTTTTATTTTTCACGCGGACCAACACAAACAAACCCGACCCGGCACAAACTCCAAAAACAACTAAACTAAACTAAACAGATTGGAATAAAAATGTTGCTAGTGTTGCTTGAAATATTAACATTTCTCACTGTAAAACAACATTATTGCCATTCTTAGGGATTTGCTACATGTTGTGGGCCAAAAACACAAATGAAATAGGATTATAATTTGTATGTGGGAATTTTGTTAAAATTATATTTCATCTTAAAATTTAATAAAAATAATGAAATGAATTTAATCAAAGACCAATATTAATAAAAATTTTCCTAATTGTTTGAATAAGGGAGCCATTACACAAGAATAACAAAAAAACAAATGAAAGCGAGTCAACATTTAAAATGACCTTTTACAAAGTAAACAAGACAAATTCCAACTGTCAATTTTCAATACAAATTAATTTTGTAAAAAACCTTTTGCCGACGTAATTTTTTCTTTTTTCTGTTGAAATATGCATTTAAAACTTATCCCCATACTAAATTTTATTTAAAGAAAAAAAAAAAAAGAGAAAAGGCGAAAATGTAAATGCACTATTGTAATATGTTATATACAAAAAAATTTCTACAGAACTACAAGTTTTTTTTAGCAATCCGATTGCTTTATTAAATGTTAAAGCAATTCAGGTTAGAAACCCTAAGCTCAGACGTTTTGCGGGCATTTTTTTAACATAGTTTAACATAATAGCTCGGAATAAGATTTTTTTTAAAAATTTGCTTTTTGCAATTTTATAGAAACAATAA